AACAAGTAAAGTCTAGGTCTTGTGTGTGGCTCAGTAACAGAGTGATTAGCATACACAAATCCTAGGTCCTATTCACAACACTGCCATAAATTAAAGTGAAATGTCTTCTCCTGCTTCCAACTTAATAGGTCCTTTTCTTACATCAACTTGTTTCATTTTTCCTGGGTTCCCTCTTGCATGTGCATGTTTGTTTTCCAAAAGCACTCCTTAACTACTTAAGATAACCTGAGTCTCCTCCGTGAAACTGAAAGAGTCTAAGAATATTTCAGAACACTTGTTTTGGCAGCAGTGAAAAGAACATACAAAAGAAAGTGTGGTGAAATCAACAACAGAAGGTAAACAACAAGACCACCTGGAAAGCATCACAGAAGCCTAAAAGGCAGCTGAGTTCACTTAAAATAAAAAGAATACAGGAGAAAAGAACAATAAAGATGTAAAGCATTTATTATGATAATGAAGGTGCAAGACATAATGAAAAACTGGATATTGGTAGTATGACAGAGAAAAGATGATTTTCATAGGTTCCTGAAAACTTCATGAGAACACAAGGGTGTCACTCCCATTCATCAAGATAAATCAAAATCAACTGAGTTGCAGTTTCTGTCTGCTCTGTTCCTAGTTTTGTGGGGAAGAAAGACAGAGAAAGTTCTGTATTTTTGGATTGGAGTACTTACGAAATATGACACCATGTGGTCTATTACCAAGTGGTTTACAGAGGTGTAAAGCAAAGACAAGGGTTCTAAACAGCCTCTGTAGATAAAAGAATCAACATATAAAATTAATGTGTTTTTGTTGGTCAGGGGATGTGTTTTGTTGTTGTTTTGTGGTTTGTTTCTTCTTTTTTTGAGACTGATTCTTTCTACATAGCCAGGTTGGCCTTGAATTATTGGCAATCCTCCTACCTCAGTCTCTCAAGTAATGGAATTACAGGTCTATAATACCATGCTTGACTCAAGTTGATGTATTTTTTAAATATCTGAAAAGTCTGTTTTCTTTAAACTGTTAATATATCTAAGAAATTCAATCATTCAAATATTAAAAATATTAAAATTCTTGCTCATCCTTATTCTCAAACTTTCTGTACTTCTTTGAAAATATTAAAGATTGAACAAGCATCTATATAACTGCAAATGATTTAAAAAGATAGGGGATATGTTACTAAATTCTACCATAGTTATATTTCTTTTAAAACATATAAATTTAGCTGAACATAATGATACATATTTGCAGTTCCAGCTATCTAAATTAGGTATCTGAAGCAAGAAGATCAACTGAGCCCAGGAGTTCAAGACACACCAACAGCCATGTACAATGCATCAAGATCATCATCAAATTAAAAAACAAAGCAAAACAAAAACAATTTATACCATCTCCTCAAAAACTATTTACCACTAAACTGACTAAAGAAAAGAAATGTTTAAAAGCCATTAGCCCTCTGTGGTAGACTTATAACACAATAATATGCTCAAGATTTTGAGACTAGACAAAGCTAAACTGAGAATTCTAGGACAACTAGGCTAACTGAGAAAATACTATCTCAAAAAATAATAATCAAACTCGAGACACAGCTCAAGTGATAAAAGTGTCTGCCTAGTACACACAAAGTCGTGGGTTCAATCTCTAGCACTCCACTAAACAGACATGGCAGCACATTTATGCAATCTCAGCATTCCCAAGGTAAAGTTAAGGAGTTCAAGGCAAGCCTGGGCTACATAGTGAGTTTTGAGGTCAGCCTGAGGGGCATGAGACCCTGTTACAAAAAGTAATGATAGTGGGGCTAGAGAGACTGTTCAGAGGTTAAGATCTCAACCTGCTATTGTAGAGGACCCTACTAAGGTTCCTGGAACCTATGTTCAGTTGCTCCAACTGCCTCTAACTCCAACTCAGGGAATTTGGACATGCTCTTCTGGAATCCACAATGTACGCAAATGCACATAAGCACACATAGATACTCTAACAACCAAAAATAAATCTTTAAAAATGTAATAGTAGTAAAACAACACATGAGATTGTGATTTTTTCACTACTAATAATTAACTTTTGAAAAGAACTTAATCTAGGTATTTGTGTGAGTTTCTACCTGAAATCTTTTCCTTCTAACTATACATCTTTGCCTCCAAAATTTACTACTGACACAGAACCTGATGTGATGAATTTCTGCCACAAACTCACTACTAATTGTTGTGGATAGCCCTAGCCTTGTATTTGATACTAATTCCCCTTTCCTGTGAACGGCTACAGAGGAGGTGTGAGTCATTACACAGGTGAATTCTAGCGAACCTTCCACCCATCTTAATTTGTAAAATAAAGGCTGGAGCCAGTGATGGGGCAGAGGAAGGGGGCGGTGGAGATATAACGGTTGGTGGAAGAGAGCAGAGGGGAGGACTGGAGGAAGACAATGGAGAAGGAAGACAAGGACTGGGAAGCAGGAGGTAGAAGGACAGACGCAGGGTCTGGAAAATCCTTAAGTTATAAGGGTCTCATAGCTGGGGAACAGAGTAGTGTAGGGTATCTGCCCAATCTAGGCTCACAGAATATATTCATAATTACTGAGTTGTGTTTTCATTGACCAGTCATATTTGGGTTGCAGATTTAAATATTTCCCACTACATCTAATCACCATGTATTTAACATGTCACCACTAAAAATTATGGATCCTCACACAAGGGAAAAAACTAGCACGATATCTACAATTTTGCCTTCTCTATATCCTTTTCCATCAAATCACCAAGACTTGTCAACTACCAATATCCAAATTCAGAACCACTATCACTCTTCTAACGTATTTCTAGCTTTAGCTTTATTCTACTTTTAATCTGCTCTAAAGTGACTCTTAAAAATCCACATCTGAACATTTTGGTCCCTCGCTTCAAATCCTTTAATAATTTATCTGATAAATATAATTACTATCAAAAGTAGTCACACAGTTGTAGCTCAAGAGAGTCCATGAGAAGTTTACTTTAGATAAACTTCTTTGTATAGGTTCAATACAAAAAAGAATTATCAGGTTTTTTTTCAAATCATGAAAATCATATATACATATATATAATATCTGATACATTTAGAATAAAAGCTTGCAGTAATTTTTAGAAAAAGGACTGAAAATAAATCCAAGTCCATCAAAATGGAATACTACCGAACCATTAAGTGAGGAATAGTATTCCATGAATACTATTGCTGAATGATCTCTAAGACTTAGCAGTATTATGTGAAAATGAAGCCATTTGTGTATAGTTTGTGTGTCTTTAAAATGTAAGCAGATATAAGTTTATAAATGCTGGGAATATCACATCATACCAGTTACAGAAGCTGAAGAATAGAAAATGAATGGCTGGAGACGAGAGAAAAAGAAATTTTTTACTACACTATTCTTCTGACCGTTTGACTTCTAAACTGTGTCTCATTAATACCTATAACGTAAATTGTTTTTTCTCCCTATATTACACACACTCGTAGACACAAAAACTGAAGGAAAAAAACACTTAAGTACTAGCTACAAAAATATTATCCCCCACCCTTACATAAACATTAAAATTATACACTTAACATTACGTTTCCTTCTTGACATCTCAGGAGTATAATTTCAACAAATATTTTATTCAATATTTTACTACTACTAAGAAAGCTGTTAATAGGCCGGGCGGTGGTGGCGCACGCCTTTAATCCCAGCACTCGGGAGGCAGAGGCAGGCGGATTTCTGAGTTCGAGGCCAGCCTGGTCTACAGAGTGAGTTCCAGGACAGCCAGGACTATACAGAGAAACCCTGTCTCAAAAAACCAAAAAAAAAAAAAAAAAAAGAAAGCTGTTAATAATGACTTCAACACTGAATGACATTTATGCCTGGTCCTTGGAGAAGACAGCAGCAATGGGTGGTAAAAAAAAAAATACTAAAAACATTAATCTCCAGGGATTAAGAACAGCTATAAATGCTGTTTTTCTAACAAGTTCAAAAACAGTAAATCCAAAACTTCTCTAAAAACCTATGTATCTGTATAAATCAACAAAGTATCGAGACAAATACTATATGAAGAATTACATATCATCATTGGTGTAATGCAACTTAATCTTGACAGAAGCCCCAGAAGTGTCAAGATTTTGACTGGTTCTTTCGTTCTACTGAAGAGACAAGATGAGGAGCAAGCAGCTTACCCTTGTTACAGCACACATACCCTCCCTCTCTGGGCTTCCACACTCTTTCCTCTCTTTCCCTTTCAGCATCCAGCCCTGAGGCTCCAAACATGGGTCTCAGTCTGACTCCTTAAAATCCAATAAAGTGAATACACTGGACTAAGTAAATAACCCCTTCAAGTTTTCCTGGAAATTTCTTTTCAACCAAAGATCCCGATTGGGTAGAAAACAGGTAACAAGGTTTGCTTAAGACGAGGTCTTCTAGAGAAGCTACACCAGAGCAGGGGGGCGATCCAGCACTCTGATGGTGATTTGAAGGGTTGACCGGAGATCTACTAGGTAAGAGCATCAAGACATTGGGGCTATCTGAAAGCTTGTATGAGTAGGGGAGAATCCTAGCAAACCAGACTGGAAGTAAGCTTCGTGAGGGTCCCTGTGAAGGCTCGGGTATCGATGACTCGTGGGAGATCCAAAGATCTGGGACCTAGCAATGGATTAGGAAGCAGTAGTGGCCTTGGCTCCCGGACTAGGATCCGCTCAGACGTAACGGTGTCTCTAGAGGCTCCAATCAGAATCCTAAGAGAGTCTAAAGGGGGTTCTAGCAGGAGGTGGAAGGGGGCCAGTGACAGAACCGCCGCGGCTGCTGGTGGGCAGAATGCTGTCTGGTCAATGAAAGGTATGAGAGAGTAGAGTCTGGGGGTGGAATCCGGGCCGTATTCCGGCGTTCGCTAGGCTTTAGGGGCAGAGCTGCTGGCGGGGCGTCTCCGCCGGGGCGGGGCGGGGCAGCCCTCCCGGAGCCAAAGAGCCGAGCGGGAGACGTGGGCCGGGCCAGGCCAGGCGGCTGGGCCGCTGGGTGCTGGGGCGGGTCTTACCTCTGGCTGCGCCGCGGTGGCCACCGCAGCCCCTTCCTCTTCGGCGGTAGCCGCTTCCCCACCTCGGTTTCCAGGGTCAGGCCGGAGAAAGCAGAGGCCGAGACCGCCGCGGGGTAGGCTGGTTCCGCGAGGGTGGGCCCAGCCGCCTCAGGGTCCGAGAGAGCGGCGGCCGCGCATCCCCCGCCCTGTCAGAGAGACTCCGCCCGGCCTGGGCAGGCACATCCCCCGCCGCACCCCGCCCAGAGAGCACGCGTTGGAACGGCCGCCTTAAACCGCGGTCTCTGCTTTTGCCCGTGGGACCGGTACGTCCGCCGCAGTCCCTCCCCGTCCTGCCAGGACTTTCCGACAGCCACCGCCAACTGCCTCCGCGTCCCCAGTCCGCTTGGGCCTGCGCGCCCCCGACTCCGCTCCGCGGCCCCGCCCCGCGCGACTCTCCAGCAGCAGCAGCGGCAGCCGAGCAGGCGCGCGCGCACTCACCTCCCACGCCCCCTGCTGCCAAGCCCCGGACAGCCCCGCCCGGCCCCGCCCCCGCACGTGACGCCGCTGGAGCGTGCTGCGCGCGCTTGCGCGGACACGCCCAGTTTCCGCCACCCTCCGAAGGGCCCCGCCTCCCCATTCCTTCTTCACTTTACGGCCGTGCTGAGAACACCGCGTTAGATTCTCGACTGCTAGATAGAAACGTCGTAAGGTTGGAGAGGCAAACTCTGGGTTTACGACCTTAGGTCTCACTTTCCGGCCAGTACAGAGATCCCTGAAGGCTGGTTGGGTTGGTGAGGCCTGAGGAATAGGTAAGAAGCCTCCTCCCTCCTTGGGTTTGTCTCAGTTTGTGGAAGCAGTGGATCGCTTTGCGGTCCACGCAGTCTCTTAGCGTATCCGAGCCCCTTCCCCATTCTGCGGCTGGATTCTCAGCGCCGCCCCCTTTCCACACACGCACGCCCCTCCCCCACTCGTTCCCGCCCCCGTGTCCAAGTATTTCTTTCCATTCATTCCACAGACTTTTCACTGAATTGTTTTCTATGCTGTAAAACCCAGAATATTAGAAGAAAATTAAATAATACCCGCATTTCGAAGCGCTGTGATGTAGGAAACAAAGAATCCGCAATGGTAACACAGTAAAATAACACGGGATGATCTGAACACAAACTAGGGACCCTTGATTGCAGAAGAGGACTTTTCCCAAATGACTTTCAGGCCTGTGGAGAGCTCGTGTTAAAACCCTGGTGAGCCGTAACTGGTCAGAAAGAAAATGGGAGAAGTAGAAAATGCCTAGTACAAAAACATGTGACAGAAGAGTAAAAAGCAAAAGGATTGACATATATACCTAGTAAAAATCGCGCAGGTAGACTTCCGTTTGAAACAACCAGACTATGTGGCGAGTGAGTTTAAGGCCAACCTGGAGTACATAACAAAATCTTGATCACAAAGGGGGAAAAGTTACTATAATGAGTAAAAGAAATGAAGACCCAGATGCAGGAGCAAAAGCTGTTTTTAAAGATTGCCTGGGTTGGCTGGCCTGTTAGCTAGCTCCTGAAAGAATAAGGCAGCTAGGTTGCCAAATGGGAAGACAGTCTGAGCCAATTTTAAAGGGGGGGGGGCAGATATAGTGGTACACGCCTATAATTTCTACATTCGGGAGCAGAGGCAAGCCAGCCTGGTCTGCATAGAGAGTTTCAGGTTAGCAGGGGATACATACTGAAACTCTGCCTCAAAGAATAGAGTAGTTTAGCTCAGTGAGCAGAGCAAGCACTAGATTCTGGGCTCTTGGTCAGTCCTGACTTGGGGAGGTGGGGGCGTGAGGGGTGAGTGAAGGGTGAGCCATGGAACCTGAAAGTGAATGACTGAAGGATGAGGAGAGGAAGAGAAGAACAGCAGGAGAACACGAGCCTGTCTGTTCATTACAATCACCTGGGCTGCTTTTTTTTTTTAAGTAAAACTAATATTATTGACCCTCCCCTCCAATAAACTGTAGCTCACTAGGTGACTCCTGTTAAGGGTAGAGTCCATCCAGCTGCACAGAATGGAGTGACGGAGTGGTGGGAACAGGCTAGACGCTGAGGGAGTTGGTTTCGCAACCTTAAAAGTTGGAATCCTTTCACCACAAAGAATTGACTATGAGAAGAGAAGCCTGAGCAGAATATTGAAAGAATGAAATAACTGCTCTGGGAACTGAGAAGGGAAGCCACTGCTGCCTCCTCACGTGCGTGGGAGAGGAGGGAGGCACGTAGGCAGCAAGTTTGCACCTTGTCTTTGTGCATTCGAGGCGGTGCTCTGCCGCTGGCCTCTAGCCCCAGCTGCTTTCTGGTTTAGCTCTTGCTTTTGGGCTTTGCAACGGAGACTCAAATGAGTTGCCTAGTAGCCTAGGAGGCAAAGACCATTAGCTTTCAGATCCTCTTTGCATCGGCTACCACTTCTGCTTCCCAGCTCCCTCCTAATCAGATCCACACCCGTTATGAACCCTTCCTCTTCCTGGTAACCCCGATTTATAAGCTATATGTCCTGGCTCAGAGCTCAAAACCATCTACATTTTTATTCCCTCCCCCAAAACAGAGATGAGCCAATTAGGAGATTCTACGCCCAACATCCACTCCCCCAGATGTTCCTGTACACTCTGCCTTGACAGTTCTCAGTGTCTTGCTCATTTATTAATTCAAGAGAAAGACATAAAGATGTTTAAAACACAGCCCTCTTACAGTAGCACAATACTGGGGGAAACAGGCTTTTAAAAAAAGAATAATTCACTTGACAATCAGAAAGAAGTTGTATGAGGTAAAGGCGAAGAAAGCATAGCTACTCTATGCTAACTAGGGTTAATCCAAAAAAACCTGTCTATCCGCCTCCAGATAAGAGTGTTGTCTGATAAGGCTAGAACATACCATGAAGGAAGAGTAGGGGTGGGAGAACGATGAAGATGATAAAATATGAATATATTACGAGGAGCCTTGAAATCCATGTTACAGGACTTAAATTATTTACTCTAAGCAGTTTATAAGTATAAATGACAAGAAGCTCTTCACCTCTTACAGTCTAGAAGCCTTTGGAAGTTTGGTCTGTCAACCTGACCTCAGAAAATTGACTTAAACATATACAATAAAATGCATAGAAGTAAGAAACCAATGTTAAATACTTAAACGCCTTAGAATATGTAGCGTAGTTACAGATGTACTTCTTTGCACATTAAGTAGCATGTAACAACAGGCCTAATTATATAATGTCAAAAGAGTAATGAATATAAATTATATTGAGCTAACCTGCAACAACTTTAATATGATGTGAACATATCAGATTTTTAGTGACAAAGACTGTTAATACCTCAGTGATTGCCTACAATTATTGAAGAAAATGCTAAATTTAAGCCAGGATGAATCGTAAATAAAGGTACTTTTTTTTCCCCCAATCCATGTTCTTAAAACCTTTGAATTTTAATCATGCCCTGCTCTATGGATCCCCAGTTTCAAAATTCCCCAGTGTAATAGTTTTAAGCAAAAATATGGCATACTAGATCTGAATTTAAGGAAAAAGTTGAGGACAGGATAGAGAAGTGGTTACTTTTCTGTTCCCTAATAGCCGAAACCTTCATTGGCAATAACCATTTGGGTGCATATATGTGTAATTGCAATTCTAGAAAATAGTTCAGGAAGGTAAGTTGGAGCTATTGTTAGAAAATATATATGGGCCGGGCGGTGGTGGCGCACACCTTTAATCCCAGCACTTGGGAGGCAGAGGCAGGCGGATTTCTGAGTTCGAGGCCAGCCTGGTCTACAGAGTGAGTTCCAGGACAGCCAGGGCTACACAGACAAACCCTGTCTCGAAAAAAAAGAAAAAAATATATATATATATGGAAGATAATGAGATGTTGAAGTTTTGGAAGAATATGACTCGAGTTCTATTTGGAAAAGTTAATGCAGAATAATGCCTAGGTTAGTTGTCAAAAAGAGAAGGTAAGAGTTGGTGTGGTGGCAAGACTTTTGATCCCAGCACTGAGGAGGCAAAGGTAGGCAGATCTCTTGAGTTCAAGGCCAGTCTGATCTACATAGCAAGTTCAAGACAAACAGGGATACATATCAAGACCCTGTCTTGGGTGGTGAGGTAGAAATCAAATGACTACCTAGCTAATAAACTAATTTTGAAAATGTGAGTTGACCCTTGAGTCTCAATAGAGTATTGAATGTCCATACTCCCAGCACTTAAGAGGGTAAATCGGGAGGGTCCCAAAGATCTTGAGGCTCTATCTCAAAACAACAACAAAAACCTAGATTGGAAAAAGCACATCCATCCCCAGTATGCATCAGCTGGTATCTTATGTAACCGAGAGGTAAGCCCAGCCTTTAGTATTATTAGTTCTTTAGTATTGTTAGTACTTGTATAAAGCAAAAACCTAACCACATGTTCAAAGATATTAACAGGACAGCCAGGACTACACAGAGAAACCCAACAACAACAACAACAACAAAGACTAGTCTGGGATACAAACAAGACTCTGCCTTAAAAACAAACATAACCAACCACCAGAAAAAAAAAAAACAATAAAAAACAAAACAAATGAACAAACAAACAACAACAAACCAGACAACCTCCACCAACCAGCCACTTACACTTCGTATTGGACGAAGGTTGAATCATATATTAAGTAGGGCTAGCTATTTTGAGTTATTTAGTTTGGTTGTTAATGTAAACTTAAAAGTTGCTAGAAAAACACTTGTGAGAAAAGGGGCTAAAGGTAGAAATTCCCAAGCCTCTGTTTTGAAAGAACTAAGTTTATCAGACCACTCTGAGTTTTATTCATTGGCCACCAGAGAAGGTAGGACTTTGAACCTATAATACAGATTCTCAAGATAATAGCTATAATTGAGACAACTGAGGGTTTCTCGGTGTCCAAAGTATGATATAGTACCTTTATAACAGATAATTATGGAAGGGGTAGCCATTTAATTGGAAGTTAGAGAAAGGACCTTACAGAGATTTTTCTGTAAGTAATGAAATTCTTAGAAAGCTTTACTAGCTTTTAGTGTTATTTCCAGTATCAGTCTTGTTCCCATCCCCCACTTCACAAAGGGGATGGATAGCAGAACCTAACACTTTACAGAGCTTGAGTTTCTGTGATGAAAAGTTAGTACAAGCAAGTTATGCTAAAGAAGATGGCTTCTCAGAGAACCTGACTCTGGACGTGCAGGAACTTTACTCACTCTGATTAGTCGTTCTGAAACCCCACACTCATGTTTAGTAAGCACATAATTTGGGGACCAACTCGGATTTGAGCAGTAAGTTGGTGCACTCATTGTCTGAAGGAGATGGTTATCTGGGCCTTGAAGATCTTTTTGTTAATGAGTTTTACTCATTTTAGGGGTTGAAAGGATTGGCAAGAAGAGAAGTGTTCTCCCATCTTAGTAATAACTAGGTTTGATCCTTCTGTGAAATCAGATGAGATCTGGCTTGTGTAGGGTAGTATGGCTGTAGATGAGAAACAGGTGTCCTGACTTCAAGTTCAACAAGTATGCACACATGTATAGATGCAATCTGATCAAGAAACTGTTGTTAATATCTTTGGTTTTTGTTGTTGTTGTTGTTTTGTTTTGTTTTGTTTTTCGAGACAGGGTTTCTCTGTGTAGCCCTGGCTGTCCTGGAACTCACTCTGTAGACCAGACTGGCCTCGAACTCAGAAATCAGCCTGCCTCTGCCTCTGCCTCCCAAGTGCTGGGATTAAAGGCGTGCGCCACCATCGCCCAGCCTTGAATTCACTATTAGCTGAAGCTGACCTTGAATTCCTGATCCTCTTACCTGTACCTCCAGA